ATGGGTTGAGCCCATAACCCACTAAATAGTAGAGGGGCGGGTTAACAAAAGTAGGTTCACTTATATGCGGGTTGGGTTTTGACCCCCCCGCATAACTTGAACCCACAACGGGCTAACCCACGGGTTGGTGGGTTAGCCCGTAAAATTTTTTTAAAAAAAATTTAACTCTTCCTAAACCTTTGTGACACAAAACAAAACCCTTGCCTCCTCATTTAGTTTCACTCTTCATCTTCAGAGTTGCCTTCATTCCTTCTTAGTCCTCACTGTGAGTCATCGTTGTCGTTGTTAGTGTCACCTCATCGCCGACACAACTCACCTCAGTCCAAACTCTGGTGACCAGCAACCTCAATCCTCCTCCTTTCAAAGTCACTTAGGCCTTGGGCTCCAACCTTTATCCTTTTGCCATGCAAATCCATGAATTAATTTAAATAAAAAAAGCTTTCCTGTTGTAGCCTTTTTTATTTTTCTTTAACTATATTGTTTTTTCCTTCTCGTTTGGCAGAGTCACATGATAGTCTAAAAGTGCTAACAAGTTGGCATGCAAAGAGCAGCTCATATAAATATATATAATATTCTACATCTTTAAATGATAATTAGTTATTAACTTGTTATTCTTTCTTCAAGTTTTGTCTTACTCGTGTCTAGAGAGTGAACATATCAGTACTTGGTAATAATTTTGGGACCTGTACCGATTATGGAAAATAATTAGTATAACTTAAAGCTTTAGAGAAATTAGCTCAAATTAATATTATTGCAACTTTTGACAAAGCTTTTAACATTATTATTAATTAAGAAAAATTTTCAAGTTTTGGATTGTGATTTTAGTGATTTGGAAGGAATTTTATTATTATTTAGATAATTAATTTTTAGAAAGAAAATATAATTTTTTTACCACAAAAAATGAAAAGAGGTGATATTATAATTTTTAATACTAAAAAAATTATTTTACTAGCGAGTTAGCCCGCCAACCCACCAACCCGCAGTGGGTTGGCGGGTTGCATAGGAACATAACCTGCCAAGATGTGGATTATGCCAACCCACACTGCATAACCCGCAACCCGTAGCAGGCTAACCTGCGGGCTACAGGTTGGCCCATATTACCAACTCTATGGACAAGCAAGATTGCGGTTTGGTCCAATTAATAAGATCGGGGATTTAGAAATTTGACGATAAAATTTGATTATTAGACTAAGGAGAGATGTTTAGGATTGTGGATAAAGATAAGATTTAACCAAATGATACTCATTAATTAGTCTTAGTGTTGTACATAGATTATGAGTTCAAGATGAAAATAGTTTTAAACAAATTATATGTATTGTTTTTTCATCTCTTTCTCTTGCGTGAACTTCTAAAGCTAAGATTCCTACAGCCATAGCATTACAACTATCAATTTAATTTCTCATATATATTCTGCTGCACCCTCTTGTATTTGAATCTAAGTCTGAACTTTAAGCTGCACCAATTTTGGGATGCATCACAAACTCAATTTTCCTTGTTTGTGTTCTTAATTCCTACTAAATATATGCTCATTATTCTCTATCTTGATACTTCTTTCCCTATGTGATCTAAAATGTTGGTTCAATCTTAGAAGATCGATTATTCCCTAACATAAAAAAAAATTAGAGGAATAATTTGCTCATTGAGACCTAATTTTAAGTTGATTTAACTGATTGCTTTGTATATTTCATGCAAGGTAGTAGAAAGTTACAACAAATTCACAACAAAGCTTTAATTGGTATTTATAAATGAAAAACTGCTAATTACGTACGAGATACTTGCAGACTCTTTGAATGAGATTTTCTTTTTCTTTTTCTTAATTGTTAAATCATATCATCATACCACTATTACAGCTAGATTACATATGCAGAATAATCAATATTGAGAAAATTACATGTAGAGATGATCAATTTCCAAAGTTGTTAGCTATAAATTTTGACATTATCTAACATAATTTCAATTAATAAAATTATGTATTTTAGATAAAGTGTGTAGATGTTGAAAATAGATGGGTGGTATCTACAATATGAGCAAAATAGAAGGGATACTAATGCAATCAACCACATTCTCCAAATCTCATAGAATGAATCTGATTGGCCAAAAAAAAAATCCACCCTAATTGGTTGATAGACTTTGGTTAAATGTAAATATCAAAATTTGATTGGTTTATTTTGTGAAAAATTACAATCAAGGACCCTTGGAGACAATTAACTACACGACAGGATCAAGTAATTTTGATATTACTCTGTAGGACCAAAGTACTTACTTTTGTTGTGAAAAGATAAAAATACCCTTGATGTGTATTATATACTCTTTTAACAACAACTCCCCACTCAAAAAAACAACACAAGTTTCATTTACATTTTAATAACAATCAATTCACTTACTAACAACTCCAAAAATTAACCTACTGGTAGAGAGAAACAAGTTTTGTGATTCAGTGAACAAATCTCGATTCGAGAAAAAACAATTCTCATTTTCATTCTAACAACAATCAATTTATTCATTAACAACTACAAAATATTAATTTAGTCCAGATGAGGTTAATGGGAGTTGTTTGAGTTATCTAGGCTTAGATATAGTGGTTTTATGTGTTCATGAGAGTGAACTCTCAATTATGGATAAAATTATGCTCTAAAGTGCCATATTGTTAGTCCTGATTTGTCATATTTTTTATTTTAATCCTAACATTGCAATGTACAAAAAATATTAAATTTGGGTAGTACAATATTTTGGAGGAAGATCGTTACTTGATCAAAAAAATTGCAAAAAAGTGACCTAAGAATTTAAGAAATTTAACCAGTATTAAAAATATAAGTAAGTTCCGACACATACAAAAAGCATAATGATTTGGGTACTGTCTCAGAGAGAAGATCAAATATCGATATAAAAAAAGAAGAAGTCATTTATAAATTTATAAAATGCTAGTTTAAGTTGTTAATATTTAAAAAGTAATTTATAAATTTTGAATGAATATATATAAATAATAATAATTAAATTATTAAATATGAAAATATATTTTAGAAATATTTATTAAATTTTATTTTAATAAGACTTTAATATATCCAATGCTCTTAAAAAAATACTTTCAAGTGTGCCAGTGCTCCTATAAAAGGAAAAATGATAATAAAATCCTTTCAAATTATATACATGACAATTTGGTCCCTCAAAATGCCATAATACCAATGAAGTTTCTAAAAACCTCTTTGTCAATAACTTTTTTTTTAGAAAAAAAGACCATTTTACCCTTATTAAAAAATTGTGATTTCTTGTTCAATTCTTTAAAGAAAAGTTGTGATTCTTTAAACAAAAGTTGTGAAAGGAGTTTGTTATTTTGAGAACTTGTTTTTCAATAATAAAAGTTACACTTGATAAATTATGATTTTTTGTTCAACTCTTGTTGTTCACAAAATAAAAGTTGTTATTCTGTAAAAAAAGTTGTGATTGAGGCTTGTTTTTCAATAACAGAAATTACACTTGAAAAGTTATAATTTCTTGTTCCATTCTTGTGATTTACAAAAAAAAAGTTGTAACTCTCCCCTCAAAGTGCAACAATTTCGCATATGTAACCCTAGCTTCAAGTATAATTTCAAAACTCATAGCTTCAGTAATTGCCTTTTGGCTGCTACCAATTCTTCCTTGGTTGTGGCCAAAACCTCTTGGCCACAACTTTGGCTACAGCCAATTCTTCTTCAATTGCAACCAAAATGCATCAGTTGTGTTCTGTTCTAGATTTCGACTGAGGCCGAAGGTGCTTGGGTTAAGGTTTAATTCTTCACTCTTTATCTTGACTTTTTCTTGATGTAATAACTTCATAACTCCTTCTTTACTCCTTAAATAATGCTCCAACAACCTAAGAAGGAAAGAAATTTTATGAAGTCCAATATTAATTATGCCAAGTTAAAGAATTATGCATACCAAGATTTTGTCATTTAAACCCAAGTGTGAGATGAGCATATTTTCCTATTATATATACTAAAAGTATGTACAATTTCATCAAAAAACATATGAAATTATAGAAAAATGCACTAAGATGACATAAATTTCTATAAGTTATCAGGGCTACTACATAAATTATTTTTTACCATACATGATTAAGAGGGCTTGGTGGCTTGTGGCCACTAAGCTTTTTAGGTAGCCAAGTAACTTTTTTTCCACCTTCATCAATTATTCCTTAATAAATTATCATCGATATCAGTGTTTCGATGACAACTGGCGACAGTCCCATGGTTGATGCCAGTGACAATTGAGGTGGCTTTTTAAAAATTGTTTTTGTAATTTTAGGGTCAATTTGGTCATTTCACATAAAAAGTTAATTTTATCTAAGAATCAATAGATTGCAATGCAATTTTAAAATCTATTAGTTTTTTAATGATATAAATTTTCTCCAACATCCTTTGATAGATATTTTCCCTACATTATATGCATTGTTTTTTCATATCTTTCTCTCGTGTGAACTTCTAAAGTTGAGATTCCACCGGCTATAGCATTCATTACAACTATCAATTTAATTTCTTATATATGTTCTGCTATGCACTCTCTTGTATTTGAATCTAAGTCTGAATTTTAAGATGTGCCAATTTTGGGATGCATCACAAACTCAATTTTCCTTGTTTGTGTTCTTAATCTCTACTAAATACATACTCATTATTCTCTATCTTGATACTTCTTTCCCTATGTGACCTAATCTGTTCAATCTTAGAAGATCGATTATTCCCCCTACATTAAAAAAAAATAAGAGGAACAATTTGCTTATTAAGACCTATTTTTGTGTTGATTCAAGTGATTTCTTTGTATACTTCATGTAGGGTAGTAGAAAATTACAAAAATCTACTAGAAAGCTTTAATCAGTATTTATAAATGAAAAACTGCTAATTACATACGAGATACTTGGAAACTCTTTGAATGAGATATTCTTTTTCCTTTTCTTAATTGCTAGATCATATCATCATACCAATATTACAGCTAGATTACATCTGCAGAATAATCAGTATTGAGAAAACTACATGTAGAGATTATCAATTTTCAAAGTTTTCAGCTATAAATTTTGACCATAAATTGTAATTATGTGCTTGGTTTGAACACACCATATGAAAAAACAAAGAAGGCTTAGGTATATGTGTTGCATAATGAATTCTTCTACATTGAAGATTCAAGGCTCAAACAATTTATAACATACGTAAACAGTGGCTGAGAACAACTCACAAACCAAAGACAAACCTCCAATTCTACCAAATCAAGATAGTTAATATAATAATTTTACAGTTACTGACTGTCACCCTACTTCTTGAATTATTTCTAAACCTTGCATCAGGCTTCTTGTTGGCACACTAGCTCTTTTCCTTATTGAAGTACCTTCAGAATCAAAAGGATTTGGAGGTACTGGTAGTTTATCTCCTTGTCCTTCTAACATTTGAACCACTACTTGCATTGATGGTCGATCCACAGCATGCCACTGGATGCACCACAGTCCCACTATTCCCAATTTTTTTGCAATTTTAGCATCCCCTTCTTCCTCAATATGAATTCTCATATCCTCCCTTTCTTCTGAAACATTATAGATCCATTCCGGATAGTAAATCTGGGTAGCGTTTTCTTTTGTGTCATGAGTAATCCTTCTCCCTCCTATTACTTTAAGGAGCAACATTCCAAAACTATAGACATCTGCTTTGTGAGACACATTTCCAAAATTTCGAGAAAAGACTTCTGGTGCAATGTAACCCAAAGTTCCTCTAGCATTAGTCATTGATACTATGCTTTGATCCTTGGAGCACAATTTGGCCAACCCAAAGTCACATATTTTTGGAGTGAAGTCATTGTCAATTAAGACATTGTGAGGTTTGATATCAAAATGAAGTATGCGTTGCTCACACCCTTGATGAAGATACTCAATGCCTTTGGCTATACCTAAAACAATTTCTTGTAGCCTTTTCCAACCAAGGAAGTTTTGGCTATTGTCAGGTGAATTTATGAAATTTTGTAATGAACCCTTCGGTAGGTATTCGTAAACAAGTGCTCTTCTAAAGCCATCTGCACAGAAGCCTACTAAGCGAATAATGTTAACATGATGGACTTTGCCCATTGTTCCAACTCCAGTTATGAACTCTTCACCGTTTCCTTCAGAATTAGCAAGGATTTTTACTGCAACTTTGAATTGGGATGAAATGTTTCCTTTGAACACAGTACCAAAAGATACTTCCCCCAACTTGTCTTCAAATTGATTGGTAATCCTCTTAATTTCAGCATAAGAATATCTAGTGGGATTGAGAGCTGTGTAATCTTTCAAAAACTTTTCAATTATTGCTTGGCTTTCTTTCTGTGATTTGTAAGAGTTGTAAATGTAATGAATTGCAAACAAAGCTACCACTAAAAGAAGTGAGCCCAAGACTGATCCTGCATATATGCATATATGAGTAACTCGAATTTAGTTTCAAAATCTATAATTAGAATTTAGAAGAAAATAACAAGTTTATCTTGAAGTTAACCTGTAATTACAAATTTGTTTGATTGACCTGCAAAAGAAATTAACATCATTGGTCAGCTTAGCATGTTCACATTAATATTTAACACAATTGACTCATCAGATGAAGAACTCTGATGAATTGTGCGAGACAATAAATGCATACGTTAATGTGATTTTGTATGCTCAATAGAAGTGATAATTGTATTCATGGATGCAGCTATGGCCAGTTTATCTGAATGATATACAGGAGATCCATATTACCTGTGTGACGAACCTCGAAACATGCAGTATCATAACTGGTATTCATGTTCTTAAATCCACATCGGTATCTGGTTCCTTTTGACTCGCAATGGCTACACTTTGGATGAGACCACATCAAATTAAGAGTGGCATCATTGTGAAAAATATTATATGGGATGCTTGAAATGTTAAATGTTTTGCTGCAAAATAACAAGGGGAGGTCTGCAATCTCGTCATCAGAATAAATGGCATATACTTGATAGGTTGAGCTTCTCAGGCACGTTGAAATTAGTTGTCCATCTTTTGGTATTGAGCAATTGAAAAAGACGTAGTTATAAAGATACTGGGGTCGGAAATGGAATGGGCAAGAAAGTTGGGTGAGGTTACGAACATGCCTAAAAAGGCAGCCAGAAGGATCATATAACTCAATGGTTTGGGATAGGTAATCAATGTTGTTTACATTGAGCTTGATTGGCCCAGGGAGCTCAAGAACAGAGTGATTGGTTGAGGAACATTCCAAAGCAAACCCAGGATACCCACACTGTTCTGGCTGGCGTCCTTTTATTCGGAAAGGAAACCGAACAGGCAGGGTTCCCCATGTTGTTTCAGGTTCTAAACAGCTCTTCCAGCTTCCGACAGCCTCTGAGAGCCCAAGAATTAGCAACAAGCAAACGGAGAAGAAGGAGTTTGCAGTTGAAGTTTCCATGTCCTGGCTTCCCCCAAAGGAGCAAGATGAGATGTAAGTTCCTATTATCATCTCAAATAGGAACCTCTTGGAGACTTTTCCATACATGATGTACGTGCTTGCGTCAATAAACAAACACCTTTTGAATTGTCAACAGTGATGTCAAGCTGTCAGGTGTCAACGTCAGAACAATTTCTAGGCAACTTTTGTGTTGCAAGAAATATATGGTTTTGGGACCTTTTGAGTCACTCGGGATTTGGTATAAGCTAAAATTTCTATTCGTTTTGACATCTTCATGATAAGAAACATGTGTTTCTCATCAGCACACTTACTGGTGGCGCTGCTTCTGATGGTGGCGTTCTACAAAACTTGCAAGGCGTCAGATGGATACAAGAATTGTTCTGGGTTATGCGGACATCACACCGTGAGCAGCCCTTTCCGTCTGAGAGACTTTGCAGAGCAGTGTGGTGATCATAGGTATGAGCTATCTTGTGAGCACAACCAATTGGTACTGTACTGGCAATCTGGTAGATACAGTGTTGTGTCCATTGATTATGAGAATCTCACGATCCGAGTGAAGGATGCTAATGTTGTGGAGTTGAATTACTCTTCCCTTCCTGGGTATTCTTTAACAGACTACAACTTTAGCTATTGGGATCCATATAACCCCACCGTTCTAACACGCTCTGAAGATGCATCTTGGGATTATAATCGATTGACAAAGATCATGATATACGTGCGGTGTAAAAACCCTGTGGATTCCTCAGTGTTTGCAGACACAGCTCCCTGCTTCAAAAATTCCAGCAGGTCAGTAGCTGCTGCGTCGTCGTATGTGTATGCGAGCGTAATTGGCAGAGAAACTGCAGGGGAATGGGGGTTAGGGGACGATTGTGGTATAGAGCTAATGTACATGACATCGTGGCCTGACCGGAAGAACCAGTCCTGGTCCTGCGAAGTCATCCACAATATGCTTGTTTACGGCTTTGAGCTTTCTTGGCTGAACAGTGACTGCCTCAAATTTGGAGTTTATGCATATCTCGATGAAAGCAAGCAACGCCATTGCGCTGACCCAAGTAAGTTCCTCAATTCTGGCTGTCAATAACGATTAATCTTGTGCAGCTTGTTTTGGCATTTTTCATTCTTAATCCTGGCAATTTGTTATTCTCCGTTATTAACTATCTGCACAAATATATATATATATATATATATATATATAATGAGCTAAACTTAATTGCGCCCAAGAAATAGGAGTACTAATATTTAAAATAAATATTAATATTTTATAAAATATTTAGTAAATTATATTAAGGGTATAATTTAATAAAATTAAGTGCTAAAAAACAATGTATTAAACATAGTTATAATAACATACAAAAAAATCTTTATTGTTTAACAAGATACTGTTTTTTAACCAAAAAAAAAAAGAATCATTTTTTATATTTATTAAATAAAATTTATATCCTCTTTTGTGTGTGATAGAGAATTTTTTGTGATAATTTTTTCTATAAACAAATTATTTTTCCAAAATTATTACTTTTCCATTTTAAAACTATTGTTATTTAAGGTTACATCCCGGCATATAAATAAAGTTTTAAGTTATAAATTTTCTAATGGGATTAACAAAATTTTATACGGAGACAAGTGAAATTTTTGAAGGGAATAACCAAAATTATTTGGGTCATACTGCATAATTTTTTCTTCAGTTTTTGAGATGATTGCCACAATTTATTAGCGAAATCGGAGTATACCATATTTACTAATATAAGGTTGTTTATCAGTTAAATCAGGTCCAGGCGGCATCACTTTTGTAGAAATCTTTTGGTATACCGTGGGTAAGGAAATTTGTTGGTAACTTCTCAAACTTTTTGGTGGCAGGATGCATCATATGTTATATGTGTTTTCCGTATTCGCCATATAAATAAAATCTATTAGAAAAGAGATAGAAAAAGAGTCTTATTTGTAATGCTTTGTATATATAGTTTTTTATTTAAATGTCACAAGATAAATTTGTTTTCCCTTTAAAAATGTTTTAGTTATGAGTTATTTCTTGAACTATAATAATTTTTAAGGTTAAGGTGCATTTCTGTCCTTAAAATATTTTTCGAGAAGCACCCAACACCTTAACATTTTTATTAGTACAATTTTGCCCCTAAAATAATTAATACGGGGCATTTTTTTACTTTTCATCAAAATTTTAATATTGACCTCAAACGTTGACTATTAAAAAATTTGACAAAAAAGGCAAAAATGTTTCATTTTAATAACTTTAGAGGCAAAATTATTCTAATAATAATGTTAGGGTACCGTTGGGTGCTCTTCGGGAAATATTTTAGGGATAAAAATGCACCTTTATCCTAATTTTTATTGAATTATACCCTTTTTATTTTATTTTGGTTAAATATTATGAAACTTTGAGCCTTTTACAAATAACCTTCCTCAACCTTTTAAATTTGACAAAAAACCTCTACTCAAGTTTTAAGAAATTATTATTGAAATTTAGTTTAGTTACTCTTAACTGTAACTTTCTTATGACCAAAATAATTGAAACTAAAGTTTTGATATTAACTAGCCTCTCAAGTCCACGCACATGTACGTGTAATGCAAAATATTTTAAATCATATAAAACTGAGAAATTTTGTTAATTATATGAAATAAAAAAATCAACAACTATATTTATACATTAATAATATATATAGATAAAAGTGTATTTTTGTTCCTTCAACTTTACACAATATTTTGTTTTGGTACCTTGAATATATAAAGTATCCTTTAATGAATGTGCACTTTTGTTTATAACATATTGATATATTGATGATATATTAATTTTTTTTAATTTTAGATTCCAAATGACTTGATAATAACTTTCATTTTTGTACTTTATGTAATGCTATTGAACGTGGCACAAGCTGTTTTCTCATTAATCATAGTACTTTCTCGTAATAGAGACTGATATCTGTTTTGTTTCCTCTCTTATGCTGACGACGAGCCAGACGCCTGCACTATGTTAGGTAATCCCTTGACTTCTACAAACTTAACTAATTTTTAAGAGTGCAAGAGCAGACAGTGCAATGCCTGGCCAAACAATAATAGAAATTCAATACTAGTTTCAGTTAAAGGGCACGTTCTAATAATTATGTTCTCTTTTAAATTTCCATTGACAGCTCTTTATACTGGAGTTAAACTTGTTCTGGGGTCTCCATTTGTCATCGCCCTTTTGATCTATAAATGGCGAAGAAAACATTTATCAATGTATGACAATATTGAAGATTTTTTGAAAAGCGACAACAACATCATGCCTATAAGGTACTCCTACAATGATATCAAGAAGATGACCAAAGGGTTTAAAATAAAACTTGGGAAAGGAGGCTTTGGCTCAGTGTTCAGGGGAACACTTCGAAGTGGTCGTGATGTAGCTGTCAAGATGTTGGATAAAGCCGAAGCCCATGGTCAGGAATTCATCAATGAAGTTGCTACACTTGGCAGAATCCACCATGTTAATGTGGTGCAACTCGTTGGTTATTGTGTGGAGGGATCAAAACGTGCTCTTATATATGAGTTCATGCAAAATGGATCTCTTGAAAAATACATTTTCTCTAAACTTGATGAGAATGATCAATCCTTGAATGTTCATCAATTGTATGCCATTTCTCTAGGAGTAGCTCGTGGTATTGAATATCTTCACAAAGGATGTGTTATGCAAATCCTGCATTTTGATATAAAGCCACACAACATTCTTCTTGATGATAACTTCATCCCAAAGGTTTCTGATTTTGGACTTGCTAAGCTCTATCCTACAAATAATAGCATTGTGTCTCTTACAGCAGCAAGGGGAACTATAGGATACATGGCTCCTGAGCTTTTCTACAGAAATGTTGGTGGGGTCTCTTATAAAGCTGATATCTATAGTTTTGGGATGCTATTAATGGAGATGGCTGGTAGAAGAAAAAATTTAAATGTTTTAGTTGAGCATTCAAGTCAGTTTTACTTTCCCTTTTGGGTTTATGATCAATTAAATGAAGGAAATGAAATTAGCATAGCAGATGCAACAGCGGAAGAAATGAAATTGGCAAGGAAAATGTTGATTGTGGGGTTGTGGTGCATTCAAACAAAGCCCAACGATCGTCCTTCAATGAAAAAAGTTGTAGAGATGCTTGAGGGAGATGAGCAAGACTTAGAATTGCCTCAAAAGCCTTATCTGTATCCAAATGACTTACCAGCAAATGATAATATTGATCATTCAACTTCAACATGGCCATCCAAGTCAAGCGATCGCCCTTCAATGAACAAAGTTGTGGAAATGCTTGAAGGAGAAGAGCAAGAGTTAGAATTGCCTCAATATTCTCAAGATTTACAGACAATTGATGCTAGTGATAACAAATGTTCAGCGTCTCCTTCCTCTAATCCATCAGTGAGTAAGTCAAAAGAAACAACCTCATTTTTAACTAAAGAAGATGAGAGATCAATATAGCATTGTAAATAGACTAGTGATCTTGATATATATATATATATATATTGATTTTATTATGAGAAACTTTTAAATATGAATAAGTGGGGGTTGTATCAAATGAGAATGGCATGTTAGGCTTTCATTTTTTATGTAATGAGATATATTATCATTAAGGAGGAAGTATTATTTGTCTTTCTGGATGGCTGTTTTTTTTTCTTTTTGGGAAAATAGATGTATACCAAAAATATTTCACATGCTACTTGGTACTCGGACTAGATCATTCATCAGAAGACACATGTCCATTTTGCCGGGCAAAGGATAGAAATATCTTTTCATCATGTCCTTTGGTGGTGTCAGTATGGTTTGTTAATCTCGGTGACACATATATTTAATGATCCAAAATACATTCAAAGCTTTTTATATAATGGATTATATTGCTGATCTCTGATATATTTGGTACCCGTGTCTGTCGAAATCAGAATCTATTGTTTGTAAATAAGGCATCCACTTTATATGAGAAGTGAAAGAATTAGAACAATAAGCTTCTATTGATAGAAAGATGCTTGATCTATGTAGCATGACTTTGGATGCACTAAAGTGTTATTTTATTTTTGGACAATTTTAGCATCATTAAAATTTTGGATAAATTGGCCCATTGGCCAGAAAAAATCTTGTGCCTAACAAATATGAATAATTTTTTAAAAAATAAGAGTGTGATTGATTCACATTAATATATATCGTTGATATATAAGAAGTTTATTATTAAAAATTTAAAAATTTATAAAAAATTTATTATTAATATACAATAATATATCATTGACAAATGTAATAAATTGACTATAAATATAATAAGTGTCGGGTTATTTGCTTAGCTTGGTCTTATAGCATGAGTTATATCATGCCAAAACTATGGATATCTTGTAAGATACATTAGGAATTTTTAGATAGAAGAATTTTGAGGCAATGCAGCTCTTGGCTACTTTTACAGTTGTCCACAACATTATAGTCTAGTCAGTCCGAGACAAATTTAATTTGGATTGACCTTAGTAACATTTTTTGAGTTCAAGTATGATCTAGTAAACATAATGACGTTTGAGGTCAAAATGATCATGTTCATACCCTTGATGAAAATAATATTCAATTCGTTTAGCTTTTTTTGAAGCACTTTGTGGATTTTTCAGCCTGAAAAATTGTGTTTACTATATGATGAATTCATGAAATCTTGGGTTTGTCTATTAAAGGGATTGGTGAAGGTGTCCCCTATTTCTGTATGTGCAATTACTGTCCTTGTTGAGACAATTCGCTCGCATATGATATTCGATTTCCCAATAATCTCTGTCTACTAAAAATTTATCCTCTATTTCAATTTATAAAATAATTTTAAATGTGATTTGATGTTCTAAAATATAAGATATTTTTACAAAAATAAAATAATATTATATTAATTATACTTATTCCAGCATTACCCTTTTCTCCTTATTGTATTTTATCTATCTCTATATTTAACATTTCACAAATAAAATTATATTAAATGAAGGGTATTTTTAAAAATTTATATTTATATTTTTAAAAAAATAAAAATATAAAATGTATTTAATAATTTTATTGGTGTGTATAATTTTTTTAAAAAAATGTCTATAAACTGGACGGAAAAGGTAAGATATTAGAAAACCTAGCATGTCGTTTTTTTTTTTTATTGTTGATAAAAACATATGGGCCACGCATTTTCCTCTTATTATTTTGCAAGCCTAATCCCATGTGACTGCTGGTCTCTTGCTTCATGATATATATTAAGCCTCACAGAAAAAAAAAAAAACTTACCAAGTTGAAGATTGGGCCTAAAATGAAGCGCAATACTGTATCCTTTTCCTATCCTTTTTTGAGAAACCTATAAATTATATATTATCTACTTTGATTATGAAAATATACATAAAATATTTTAATTAAAATATATTAAAAACAATATTTTTTTAGTTTAATAATATTGTTAATTCGTATTTAAGGCAAAAATTATAAGTTTAATTTATTTTGAATTTATAGTATAAATTGTTCCTTTTCTCTATTCCATAATCCATACCCAGTTTAAGCCAGTACCATATGAAACTTGAGAGTATTATATTATATTATATACTAATAAATAAGCTATAATAATATTGTATTTCATGTTCAATCTTGTCTCTGGAAATAGTGGCGTCTAATAAGAAAACACCCGCGTGTAATCTATTTTTTTCGTTCAAATAATGTAATTGTAACGTATTTTTAGTGACATTTTTTACTTCAAATTTAATTTAACTTAATCGAAAAAAATATGTGAATAGATTATAAAAAAATGGGAAAACTAATCTCTAGATTCTTATGGTTTTTCCTACTTTTGAATAAGGTCCTTGAGCTTTTTTTTCTAATTAGATCCTTTAAATTTCTTCTGTTAAGTGTATTAGTCCCTTGTTATTAAAACCGTTGGATAAAGACTAACAACATAAATAAATCTATTAAGTAATGATGAGGTGGCACATAGGTGGGTATATTTTGAAGGATTCGCATTCAATGCGGATGAGACCGCTTGCTCATCACTCAAACGAGTGACTTAAGCCATTCATTTAAACTTAAAATTATCTCTACCGTTAATTTTAAATTAATTTTTAAATATTTTAAATATTATATTTGTTAAAATAAAAATTATAAAAAAATTTAATATTAAATTTGGATTATCTTTAGTGCTCATTAGATGATAAGTACTATGGTATCCATCACCTCTATTGGAATTTGGATAGTTTAGATTAAATTTTTTATTTTTATTTTATATTTATCAAAATAAAAATGTATAAAAAAATTTAAATTTTTAATATATCTATTCATCATCAATTTTATCAGTACAGATTTAATTTAAATAATTTAATTTAATATATATTTTTTATAACTTTTACAAATTAACTATTTAAATGTACTCTAGATAATTCAGATAGAAGACAAGCCAATTTAATATTAATTTTTTATAATTTTTATAAATTAACTATCTAGATATATTTAAGATAGTCAAAATTTAATATTTAAGTTTCTTTATAATTTTTTTAAAAAAACTAGTTTAACAAATATAATATTTAAAACATTTAAAAATTAATTTAAAATTAATGGTAGAAATGATTTTGAGTTGAAATGAAGGGCCTGGATCGCTCATTTGAGTGATGAACGCGAACCCATGTTTTGAAAGTTGGCTCTGACTAGGCATTTAGGTAGATAAAATTTAAGCACATTTGTAAATCTCCAATGGCTACATACAAATTATTCAATAAATTGAGGATTCCCTAAACATAATTTTTTATTTTGTTAATCTAATTTTTGAATTATTATTTCCAAAATTATTCTAGACATCTGAACTTTACCCAAAAATACATAACGACTTCAATCCGTAGTTTAGGAAGCCTATGCAAGCCAATATAAATGACTCAAAAAAACAAATTAAGATTCATATATTGAAAACAAATTATTCTTGCTCATATGGCTAATTAAATCTTGTAGTGGCATACTCATGGGCGGGTCCATCGAAGCAGATTTCATTAAAACAATCTAAGTGATTTACCAGGGAATGATAATAGTGATCATTCATGTTCAACAAGGCCATCCAAGTCCAGCAATAATCGCCCTCCAATGAACAAAGTTGTAGAGTTGCTTGAAGGAGAAGAGCAACAGTTTAGAATTATTGCCTCAAAAGCCTTTATATATACACAAGATTTACAACCAATTGATGTTAGTGATCATTTATGCTCAGCGTCTCCATCCTTTCATCCATCAATGAATAATTCTAAAGAAACAATCTCATTTTTAACTAAAGAAGATAAGAGATCAATATAGCATTGTAAATATTTGTTGTATGCTAATGATCTTGATGATATATATTGATTTTATTATGACAGACTGTTAAATATGAATAAGATGTGTGGGGGTTGTATCAAAATGAGAATTGGATGTTAGGCTTCCATTTTTTTATGTCATGAGATATATTAAGCAAGAAGCATTTGCCTTTCTGGATAATCATGTTTTTTTTTCCCCCCTTGGAAAGCAGATGCCGAGTGTTTTACATGTTACTTCATTTAGTTTGTAAGATAAACAATAATATCAGTTATTAATTTACTAATTTTATTTGTTAATTTACTAACATCAGTTGTAAATTATTGACAGGTCTTGTAATTTAAAACTGATGTTAGTAAATTAATAAATAAAGTTAGTAATTTAACAACTGATGTTGCTGCTTATTTAATAGACTGATTGAACAACTGATATTCAAATAATATTTAAGTCTGGCATGATTATTGACAGGTCAAATTATATAATTTACAATTCATATTAGCAAAATAACAAGTAAAGTTAGAAAATATATAATTAATGATTCTGTATCTCAAACAAAATTAATAAATAAAAAGTACTTTGATCTTTTCATTATTAAAATTATTTTCACCTTAGTCCTTCTAAATTGAACTGATGTTTCAAATTTTTTTGAGACTTATTAACAATCAAGTCACATCTCTAATCTTTAGACAAAATTCGTTAAAAATAATTTTTTAGAGATTCATTCTGAATTTTTAGAGAAGAAATTTTGATGCAATGTAGTTATTTGCGGCTTTGACAGTTTTCACTACATCATATATACTTTAGTCAGTCTGAGACTAAATTTGGATTGACCGCACTAACAATTTTGGAGAGCGAGTGTGGTCTACTTTAACACAATTTGATGAAAAAATCTAGCCATAGCAAATCCGAATCCGCAACTGCTTTGCAAGCCAGTTTGATGTAGCATGATTTTGGATGCACTAAAGTGCTACTATTCCTAATATTAAATTAGAATAATCACAACTAGGTCTCATATAGAGAAATTAATTACTGCAAAATTTATTGACAAATAAACTAAATTGCATTGGAACCTTACAGTAATTAATTTTTTTTATGTGACTTCAATATGATTCTCCCTATTAAATTTTTATTTTTATTTTATTTTTGGGTAACTTTAGCATCTTTAAATTTTCTTCCTCAATTTGAATCATTACTTCTTCTCTAGCATTCCCCTCCCACGATATTTGCCTTTGCAACCCACCCAAAAAAATTATGGCTAACTGGTATAGCAGCATATCATGCCAAGACTACGACGGATATCTTCTTATTGGTAAGATACATGTGGAATTTTTAGAGAAGAATTTTGATGTGTATC